GGTGGACAGATGATTGGGCTTAGGGGTGGACAGAGAGGTGGACAGATGATTGGGCTTAGGGGTGGACAGATGATTGGGCTTAGGGGTGGACATAGGGGTGGACAGATAATTGAGTTTAGGGGTGGACAGATGATTGGGCTTAGGGGTGGACAGAGGGGTGGACAGATGATTGGGCATAGGGGTGGACAGAGAGGTGGACAGATGATTGGGCTAAGGGGTGGACAGATGATTGGGCATAGGGGTGGACAGAGAGGTGGACAGATGATTGGGCTTAGGGGTGGACAGAGGGGTGGACAGATGATTGGGCTTAGTGGTGGACAGATGATTGGGCTTAGTGGTGGACAGATGATTGGGCTTAGGGGTGGACAGAGGGGTGGACAGATGATTGGGCATAGGGGTGGACAGAGGGGTGGACAGATGATTGGGCATAGGGATGGACAGATGATTGGGCTTAGTGGTGGACAGAGGGGTGGACAGATTATTGGGCATAGGGGTGGACAGATGATTGGGCTTAGGGGTGGACATAGGGGTGGACAGATAATTGAGTTTAGGGGTGGACAGATGATTGGGCTTATGGGTGGACAGATGATTGGGCTTAGGGGTGGACAGAGGGGTGGACAGATGATTGGGCTTAGAGGTGGACAGATGATTGAGCTTAGGGGTGGACAGATGATTGGGCTTAGGGGTGGACAGATGATTGGGCTTAGGGGTGGACAGATGATTGGGCTTAGGGTGGACTGAGGGGTGGACAGATGATTGGGCTTAGAGGTGGACAGATGATTGGGCTTAGGGGTGGACAGAGGGGTGGACAGATGATTGGGCTTAGAGGTGGACAGATGATTGAGCTTAGGGGTGGACAGATGATTGGGCTTAGGGGTGGACAGATGATTGGGCTTAGGGGTGGACAGATGATTGGGCTTAGGGGTGGACAGATGATTGGGCTTAGGGGTGGACATAGGGGTGGACAGATGATTGGACGTAGGGGTGGACGTAGGGGTGGACAGATAATTGAGTTTAGGGGTGGACAGATGATTGGGCTTAGGGTGGACTGAGGGGTGGACAGATAATTCGGCTTAGAGGTGGACAGATGATTGGGCTTAGGGGTGGACTGAGGGGTGGACAGATGATTGGGCTTTAGGGGTGGACAGATGATTGGGCTTAGGGGTGGACAGAGTGGTGGACAGATGATTTGGCTCAGTGGTGACAGATGATTGGCCTTAGGGGTGTGGACAGATGATTGGGCATAGGGGTGGATATAAGGGTGGACAGATGATTGGGCATAGGGGTGGATATAGGGGTGGACAGCGGAGTTGACAGAGGGGTGGACATTGGGGTGGACATGGGGTGGATATTGGGGTGCATTTTGGGATAAACAAATAAGTGGAAATAATGATAGACAAGGGTGGATGTAGGGATGGATGTACGGGTGGACATAGGAACGGACAGTGGTGTATATAGGGGTGGACAAGGTAGTGGATGCAGGTTTAAAGACAAATTAGGTGGACATAAGATTAGACATAGGGGTGGACATAGGAATGGAAAGTGTACAGATGGGAGTATATGGGAATTGACCTATTGAGAGTATATTGTAGTTGACCTATTTGAGTGGACAATGAAATAGAGGGCCGAAGACTGAAAAGAGGAGTTTGCGGATATCAGTGGACAGAGTATGGAGAGTGGACTGGACAGAAGAAATTGACAGGCGAGTGTATATGGGAGTTTAGATATGAGTGATCAGATCAGTCGTCAAAGTACGTGTAGCCATACTGATGTGTGGAATAAAAGTTGGGGTTAGACATGTATAGAGCATACAAGAGGACAGTTTGAGGAACAAAATAATTTAAGATGTTAACTATAAGTATGTTCTTAAAGCCACTTATCAACATTCAAGTGTCGTAAACCACAATTTGTTTTAAAATATCGAATTCAAAACCGTACATGAATGTGTCGTCAAGAACGATAATCAGCTATTTTAGTTTGATAAATATAAACACATACTTACCTCCCTTTTATGAAATTCACTATTTTGAAATAGATTTTCTATTTTGAAAACTCATGTTTACTTAAACTTTAACTTTTAGGCCAAGTCTTTTTACTTCAAATAAAATTGTAATATTACCCCCAGAGCACCATATATTGTATAGTAATCATAATCATTTGATTCAAACGCACTTATTGTTGAGTGGTTTTTCTTCTGTTACAATACTTAGTGACTTATTTATTCAAATATTAAATAATAATATGAAATCAATACAGTCACGTTTTTTAATATCGATAATTTAAGCTCTTTTTATTATAAAAGTACAGTTATAAAAAAAATTTATGTTAATTTGTTTTCCATAAAAATATAACGGTTTTTTAAAAAAATACTACTTATGAAAATGTAACAATAAGAACAAATGTGAGCAAAATACTGTAGAGATTAGGCGATACGCATATCAGAACAGTAACATCATATGTAAACAAAATGAGTGATGATATGTCATATTCATAATGAAGAACATGTAGTGGATGGCTCATACAGATGACATCTAATATAAGCAAATATTCGTGTACATGTCGTTTACAAGCATGACATTTGTGTATAAGATGAAATGTGTTTAAATCAGTATGACAATAGTAAAGCTCAGTATGAAATTGGCTCACAACAGTTTGAGATATGTGTAAAAAATTATAACATTGGTATTTCTCACCATGTCGTTGGTGTATATCAGGATAAAATGTTGTTGTGCCAGCAGGTAGTAAGTATACCCAGAGGCGTAGCAAGGGGGGGGGGGGAAAGCGGGGGGGACATATGTCCCCGGGCGCCGACCTTAGGGGGGGGGGCGTCAAATTGAAAGTTCGAGGGCGGGGTGCAAATCGAAAGTTTGAGGGGGTGGTGCAAATGAAAAGTTCGAGGGGGGGAGGGGTGCACATCGAAAGTTTGTCCCCGGGCGCCGGGAAGGGTCGCTACGCCTCTGGGTATACCTTAGTATGACAAAACATATACCAGCATGACCTTGAGACATGGCATTCACAAATTCCAACATGACAGTTTAGTATATCAGAACGGCATTGGTATATACCAGAAGGAGATCTGTATTTATAAGCCAGATGTGAACTCTCCGATTTATCAGAACATTTTAACATTTCAGAACCCTGAAAATCCGGCAGCCCCTGTGCCGATGCCCAGTCAGCCCCAGGTTTTATCCGCCTCTGACATCTGGTAACAAACTCTAGCTGTCCTTACACACAGATAAACAAGAAGGAATCAGCTGTTGGCATTGCAGTTTGATGTTCCCAGCGGGGTGATTTTCCATTTTTCAAACGGAAAAATCTTTATAAAGAAGCAATGCTTGCTCATAGCGAAATGAGTCACTCTACTTTAGAAACCATCCATGTATGACATCCAAAATAATAATCCCCCCACCCTGCCCTTCCAACACCATACTCCCCCCCACCCCCCACCCCCGGACGACTTCAGACCAGCTACTAGACCAGGGGTCGGCAACCTTTTGAAGAGGAAGAGCCAAAAGTTACAATTTTCAAAATGTCCCTGGTTTTAAAGAGCCACTAACATTTATTTATTTTAAATATTTTATTTTTTTAATTAAGATTATTAGTATTTGTGCAAGGAGCTGGAGAGCCGCCTCTTGATATCAAAAGAGCCGCATGCGGCTCGCGAGCCGCAGGTTGCCGACACCTGTACTAGACGCCAAAATGAACGATATCCTTGACAAATGATGATCAAAAACAATGGGTGCGATTACTAATGAATAGATACATGTTTTGATATAAAGTAGTTCACTCAGTAATAATAATCACTTGCTCCTTGAAAACAAAAATTCGTATCTCTTTCCACACTTTCGTATATATATATATATATATATATATATATATATATATATATATATATATATATATATATATATATATATATATATATATATATATATATATACCCCTGGTTAATTCAGTAATCAAACAGTGTTCATTATCGATAAATGCATGACATTACACGGGACAGTACATATAGATACCCCTGGTTAATTAAATGATTGAACAATGATCCCTATCGATAAAAATATAACATAACCTAGTATTGTACATATTGGTACCCCTTGGTTAATTCATCAATTGAACAATATTCATTATCTAAAAATATATGTATAGGTACAATTCTTGAAATCGTGCATCTTAAAATACACTGCAACAAACGGTATGTTTAACTACTTTGCAAAAATACTACTTGGTCTAATAAAAGAAAGCAGGTAAAAAGGCCAAAATCTTTTCTTGTAAAACATAAAACAGTATTACAAAAGACAGCAAAGTGAATTAACAACCTAAGACAAAAATAAACGATAACTAAAACAGTAGGCACTTTGCATGCACACTAGATTACACTGGTTTCCTGTAATTCTACATTTTGACCTACTGATAACTCTGGTTTCGACCCTTCATTACCAGGTGCATAGTTCAACGAGGAATGGTACCCTAAAGAATCCTGTTCTGTAATGGTATCAAGTCTCACAGGCATAATGTGTTTTAAAGCAGGGACATTGCCTGCACTGAGGGGATCCAAAGGGGTGGGGCCTGTATAGAACCGATGGGGTTTAGGCGCCTCCTCTGTGTTTGATGTAAAATTGTTCGGCTGAGTTGCGACCGGTACATTAGAACCTGGAGCAGGCTGTTTCTCTTGGAATTGAAAGTTGATATCGTTAATGTTTAGATTTTGTTGTGGCGTGTTGGATTCATGTTCTTGGGCATGGGTATTGTTTACTTGTATTGGTCGTTTTGGAAGAGAGCCGCCGCTTCCAGAGTTACTGCTCAAAGAGATGGACGAGCTGCTCTTTCCTAAGGGGGAGTCGGTGAGTCGGATGCCCGGAGAGATGTCGGCGTGGGGCAGGGGCTGGGTATTGTACAGAGCGTTTTCGATGGGCGTGATGTACGCTTCACCATTGATAGGATCATCCGGGTCATAGGAGGTTTGTGGGTTTGTCTTTACTAATGCGACCCAGCCGTGTTCAGGGTGGTAAAATACGTTGGATTGGTTATATGTGAGGAGTGGTTGTGTGGGAGATTGCTGTGTGGGAGGCTGTTTTGTGGGATGTGGTTGTGTGGCAGGTGGTTGTGTGGACAAAACTTGTCTGGTGCCTGGGGTATTATTTTCTAAGTGCGGAGCCTGCGCGGCGTTGAGTTTAGCCAAATAGATATCTCGATCAACATGAGCTTTGACAGGGAGAGGCTCACTCAAACCATCACTGCCGCTGTTTCTATTTGGCAGATAAAAAGAAGCATCTGGCGTAGGCTGGTAGTCATGGGAGACAGTCGAAGGGTTGCTGGAACATATGGAAGTAGCTCCCGGGGACTGCATTCTTTGGCCGAGCGGTAAAGTCGTGACTACGGTGTACATGCAAGGCGCATCGTCATGTACGGAAGGCTGGTAATTTAAGGCTGGTATGGAACCGTCCCGAGGTTGTTTGTTCTTGGAGTCGGACTCTGTCGGGTCGAGATTCCTCCTGGAGGTTGATCTGGGTGGCAGGTTAGGTCCGTCTGTAGAATTGGAGCCATCATCGCTTCTTCTTCCTCTGGTGGGCGGGCTACGTGGTGGCTCGGTCTTGTCGTTGTTAGCTCTTTTAGGCTCTGTCGATAAAGGCAAGATTGTTTGACTTAAGGATACAATTTTAAGACAAGATTGCTTGACTTAACTTAAGGATACAATTTTAAGGCCAGATTGCATGACTTAAGGATACAATTTTAAGACAAGATTGCTTGACTTAACTTAAGGGTACAATTTTAAGACAAGATTGCTTGACTTAATTATACAATTTTAAGACAAGATTGTTTGACTTAATGATACAATTTAAAGACAAGATTGCTTGACTTAAAGACACAATTTGAAGACAAGATTGTTTGACTTAATGATACAATTTAAAGACAAGATTGCTTGACTTAAAGCTACAATTTTAAGACAAGATTGTTTGACTTAAAGCTACAATTTTAAGACAAGATTGCTTGACTTAAGGATACAATTTTAAGACAAGATTGCTTGACTTAAGGATACAATTTTAATACAAGATTGCTTGACTTAAAGACACAATTTGAAGACAAGATTGTTTGGCTTAATGATACAATTTAAAGACAAGATTGTTTGACTTAAGGATACAATTTAAAGACAAGATTGCTTGACTTAAGGATACAATTTTAAGACGAGATTATTTGACTTAAGGATACAATTTTAAGACATGATTGCTTGACTTAAGGATACAATTTTAAGACACGATATTTTGACTTAAGGATACAATTTTAAGACAAGATTGCTTGAATTAAGGATTCAATTTTAAGACAAGATTGCTTGACTTAAGCATTCAATTTTAAGACAAGATTGTTTGACTTAATGATGTAATTTTGTTTTACTATTACAAACACAAGAGATTGGTAGTAGATATGGAGACGTTAACGTTATCTTTAGACTTTAAAATGTCAGGGTAATTTAAAAACAAAAACCTACTCGTGTACTTGCGATCTTTGAGAGGGATCTTCCCCAGCCAAATGAGAACCGCCACGACGACAAGCCCGACTATAATCAGGAACAGAATGGCACTGAAGACGCCAAGACCGATGGCAGCGTCTCTAGAACTCTGGGAGTCAGCGCCAACATTTGGTGGAGCATCGCTGGAGGATTGTGTGGACGTCTCTGGAGGACTTGACCCACAAATCTGGTTCAATGTAAAATTATACGTGTGATTTTGATATCGTTCATTCAACAATCTTGGAATTAAATTATACTTACATTCGTCATACGATAGTTTACTTTCAAGCATGATATTTTTGTAATATATCACTACTAGAAAGATTAAGCTCAAGAATCGCTCAAAAATCAAAGATTGATAATATTTTTTACAAAATTTCTGGGACGGAAAAACTTTGAAAACATGAGCCTTGGCTTGTAAATGCTCAAGGACTTTACAATAAGCATACCATATTCCTCTTTCACACATTGTATTATCTATATACCCAGAGGCCCGGGAAATTTTCAAGTAAATTTATCTTGCAGTCCTTACCACGCGCTTGTAATTTGCCTTGCAGTCCTTCTAGTAGCTTTATTTTGCGTCGTTCTATTAACTTTACCTTGCAGTCCTTATCACGCTCTAGTAAATTTACCTTGCAGTCCTTCTAGTAACTTCACTTAACAATCTTAGTAACATTACCTTGAAGTCCTTCTAGTAACTTTACCTTGCAGTCTTTACCACGCTCTAGTAACTTTACCTTTCACTCCTTACCACGCTCTAGTAACTTTACCTTGCAGTCCTTATCACGCCCTAGTAAATTTACCTTGCAGTCCATCTAGTAACTTCACTTAACAATCTTAGTAACATTACCTTGAAGTCCTTCTAGTAACTTTACCTTTCATTCCTTACCATGCTCTAGTAACTTTACCTTTCATTCCTTACCACACTCTAGTAACTTTACCTTGCAGTCCTTACCACGCTCTAGTAACTTTACCTTGCTGTCTTTACCACACTCTAGTAACTTTACCTTGCAGTGCTTACCACGCTCTAGTAACTTTACCTTGCAGTCCTTACCACACTCTAGTAACTTAACCTTGCTGTCTTTACCACACTCTAGTAACTTTACCTTGCAGTCCTTACCACGCTCTAGTAACTTTACCTTGCAGTGCTTTCCACGCTCTAGTAACTTTACCTTACAGTCTTTACCACGCTCTAGTAACTTTACCTTGCAGTCCTTACCACACTCTAGTAACTTTACCTTGCTGTCTTTACCACACTCTAGTAACTTTACCTTGCAGTCCTTACCACGCTCTAGTAACTTTAACTTGCATTTCTTACCACGCTCTAGTAACCTTACCTTGCAGTGCTTTCCACGCTCTAGTAACTTTACTTTTGCAGTCTTTACCACGCTCTAGTAACTTTACCTAGCAGTCCTTACCACGTTCTAGTAACTTTACCTTACAGTCCCTACGCCCCACACAGCTTGAGATGACGGTTTTGACGGGTTGCCCGGGTACGGTGTAGAAGACCAGTCCATCCATGGGAAGGTTGAGACCAGTCTTGGGGTTGTATTCACCCACCTGTAGACACGTGAACAAATGACAGAAAACGTAACAAAATTACGTGACACATGACAAAATGACCAGCTCGTAACAAAATGGATAGATGTATGACGAAAATAACAAGGTACATGACAGAAAACGTAACAAAACTACCTGATACATGACAAAATGACCAGACATGTAACAAAATGGATTGACGTATGACGATATTGAAAAGACAAATGACAATATAACCTGACATATGAATGATCAAACACATGACATCATTTCCAAACATATGACAAAATAAACAGTGTTGGCCCTTAATAAAAAACATTATAATAATAAGCTTTCAAATGCAAAGAAAATAAGAAAATAAAACAAACTTACTTTCTTTAATAAAAGCTTTGATGGTTTAAGTATATAAGTACTATCACAAGCGACCAAAGCAGTTTTTTTTTTTATGTTTATTTTCTTTTCTTTTTTTCAGTGCAATTAAAAGCTTTATATTATATATTTTTTTAATATTTGTTTTATTCTCTACTTTTTAGTTATTTGTTCTTATTGAAGTCAAGAATGAGGCGCATAAGATCTCTAAAATACAATTCATTTAGTTCGCTGTGAAGCCAAGAAAGAAACCAACTGTAACCAAACATTTCAACGTCAACGGCCATCTTAAAGAGCGATAGCTAGTATTCAGTCTTGTTATCTCCCCAATTAAAATTAATTTAGTAATCATTTAATTAAATTTAAAAAATGAACCTGATGTCTAATTATATTTAAACATAGACTTTCTTACATTGTCATCGGTGATGAATGTATCTCGAAAGTGTAAATGAAATCCTTGTGCTTTCTCAAACCCACAAACAAACGAACAAAAACAAACATCTTGAAAGTCTAAACACGAAAAGAAGTTTGAAAACAAAACAATAGACTAAACAAAATAATCCAAAAACTCATATTGTATCTGTATTCAGTGTCCAAAATGCAAACTTAGTCCTCGCTATGTCATTAAGTATAACTCACTTTCATGTAGTTGGCAATGTTGTTGTCGTATCGTATGTTGTAGATCTGGAACCCAGCGTTGCCGTTGCCCGTGGAATCGAACGGTCTCAGAACGGAGTTGCCGTTTTTGATTTGGATGTTTCTGGTTTCATTGGTAAGGATGTCAGGTTTAAACGTGCTGGCTGCCAAAGTTCTGAAAAAACAATTGTATAAACTATTTTTTTTACTCTGTAAACTAATTACGTTGATCTATTAATAGTATCATTAACTCATCGATAACGATTGATTTTACACATTCAATTAGCTTTTATTTAAGCTTGGTTTGTTGTTCCAGCCATTACGACGTGCGTAGTGATAAACCGTATGCCAGATAACAAAGTTTTTTTTGAGATGGTCATATCTATTTTCTCTTACACAATAACCTTGAGTTATGGATAATCACTTACACACAGATAATTATATTTTCAGTTCCATGAGAACTAAGTTAAAATCGTAACAAAACAAAAACTAGTACTACATCTGGAAGTTTCCTTTGAAATTATTTACTTAATATAAATTATAAAGAGTTGTTTTTTTTCAAACACCATGTTATTACATTAAGCGAATGTTAGTCAGTTTAGAGAAGGAAATAGATGTATTACTTGATGGCAAGTCCCACACTTTTTGCAGCGACCCAGCTATGAATGACCAGGGACGAATTGACCAAGACATTCAAATCAGAATCACTGTGGACATTACATAATCAGCATGTTAAACTACACAATAGACCAAGATATTTAAATTAGATTTACTAGAAACATAACATGTTCAACATATTAAATTGCACAATAGCTCAAGACATTCAAATCATAATCACTGAGGACATTACATATTCAACTACCCAATAGCCCAAGACATTTTAATCAGATTTACTAGAAACATAACATATTCAAAGTATTCAACTACACAATATCCCAGGATATTTAAATCAGACTCACAGAGGACATAATATATTCACCATATTTAACTACCCAATTGACAAAGACATTCAAATCATATTTCATCGAGGACATCAGATTACTGTATGTATAAGAATCAGTTCGTATTTTGTCAGTATCAAATACGTCAGTTAAAAGTATATTATTCAAATTCAGTTTTAAACCGCAATCAGCCTGTTAATAATAAATATAAAAATTCTGTTGAAAAAAAAATGAGTGTGTGATAGCTAAAGAGCTCTCGGTGCCTGTTTATAAAGTGTCAGACTTAGGGGTCTTCCATACTCGTAGTGGCGAAGGGGGGTCCGTAATTTTGTGATGGTGTGTGATGAGGGGAAGGGGGGGGGAGGATCAAGTGGTGCTACATCACCATTTTGCATTTTAAAAAAGCTATGTTAGAAAACTAATTTAGACGTTATTTTGGGTTTTAGAAAACTGTTTTAATAGATTGTAATAGTAATTGATTAAAATACTCTATAAAGACAGAGTTCAGACAAAAATTGTGAAAAATATCGATGTTTAAGAAAAATTCAACTGACATTGTGAGGGGGGGGGGGGTTGTAAGCTGAGGAGTGACGTCATTTTAGGTGGGGGGGGTGGTTGGCTTTTTGTGACGATGTGTGACGGAGGGGTGGGGGAGAGGTAAAAATCGTCAAAAAAGCGTGACGCCATTTATGGATGACCCTTATTTAAATTTAGTTTAACCGCAATCAGCATGTTAATAATAAATTTTAAAAATTCAGTTGAAATAAATTAGTGTGTGATAGCTAAAGCCCTCTCGGTGCCTGTTTCTAAAGTGCCAAACTTACCTGAAGTAGCTAGTAGCACTACAGTCTGACGGGTAATTGTTTTTGAAACCACCAGGCAGGTTACACTGGAAGTGATCTTCCCAGAATTCCTGCAACCATCCGTTTCCGGTTTCGCTGAAGGGGCTCATGGTCTTAAGATAGTCCTAGATGTGAAGGAAGGTAATTACGGACATTAGTTTTGACGGATGTTACTGGGCATTGGGAGGTCAGCAGAGGCGTAGCGAAGGGGGTACATATGTCCCCGGGCGCCGACCATAGGGGGCGACTAAATGGGTTGGAAAAACAAATTAAAATGTCATTTTAGCTGCATTTTTGCATTATAACATTATAAATAGTTTGAGGGGGTGCAAATTGAAAGTTTGAAGGGAGTGGGTGCAAATTGAAAATTTGCTCCCGAGGGTGGCGGCAAATTGAAAGTTTGTCCCTGGGCGCCGGGAAGGGTCGCTACGCCTCTGGAGGTCAGATCAGAATAGGTTAGAATAGTCTTGAACGTAGGCGAGAATGCGTGAGTGAGTTGAGTTAACCCCGGGGTGTTTAGGTATTGTCATCTCAAGGTGGAGTGCGTGTATAAAAGCTGGAGTGAACGATTGTAAGGGGCTTTTTAGTTTGTAGCGGCTAGGGACGAGGGCGGCTGTGTAATGTGGAAAGATGTGAACAAATAAAGTACTGAACATTTTATTGGATCGTTTTCTGCATTGAATAATACCCAGACGTAACAACAGATATTTCAAGTGTTTTATAGGACTGAACAACTTCTATAAAATTTAGTTTTATTAGGAACTTCTGAAGGACGATATATAATCTAAACTAAAATTTGACTTACAATTGTACTGATGTTTCTATCATAAACCTAAACGTAATCCTACTTATTTCTCTGTCGAGGGCTTAGCAACAAAGTCACTTTTATTTATACTTAAAAGTTTCTTATAGGAAAAGAATAAACGCAAATTTATTTTAAAACAAGCTAATTTAATACATATTGGTGTTATGTAAAACATTAGTAACCATTTGATCGCAAAAAAAAATTAAAAAAAAAAAAAAAATTACCGTCAGCTGATAGTTGACTAGCTCAGGAGCTGAGGCAGCAAGGATTATTGAACCTCTCGCCCTCTCCCCCAGTTCATTGGCGATGAGGTAGGGGTTGGGCCCCCATGTCTCGCTCCCCAGGAAAACAAAACTGTCCTCCTCTCTCACAGCCTTCAGCATCGTACTCACCTGCTCGTCCACCAACATCACCACAATTACCTGGATAGAAGGTGAGTAGTTAGATGGATGCACATTTAGCCTAACACAATTACCTGTATAGAAGGTGAGTAGTTAGATTAGATGTCTGCACATATAGCCTACCACAATTACCTGGATAGAAGGTGAGTAGTTAGATGGATGCACATTTAGCCTAACACAATTACCTGTATAGAAGGTGAGTAGTTAGATTAGATGTCTGCACATATAGCCTACCACAATCACCTGTATAGAAGGTGAGTAGTTAGATTAGATGGATGCACATAGACAAGTAGCCTACCACAATTACCTGTATAGAAGGTGAGTATTTAGATTGGATGTCTGCACATATACAAGTAGCCTACCACAATTACCTGTATAGAAGGTGAGTATTTAGATTAGATGGATGCACATAGACAAGTAGCCTACCACAATTACCTGTATAGAAGGTGAGTATTTAGATTGGATGTCTGCACATATACAAGTAGCCTACCACAATTACCTGTATAGAAGGTGAGTATTTAGATTGGATGTCTGCACATATACAAGTAGCCTACCACAATTACCTGTATAGAAGGTGAGTATTTAGATTGGATGTCTGCACATATACAAGTAGCCTACCACAATTACCTGTATAGAAGGTGAGTATTTAGATTGGATGTCTGCACATATACAAGTAGCCTACCACAATTACCTGTATAGAAGGTGAGTATTTAGATTGGATGTCTGCACATATACAAGTAGCCTACCACAATTACCTGTATAGAAGGTGAGTATTTAGATTGGATGTCTGCACATATACAAGTAGCCTACCACAATTACCTGTATAGAAGGTGAGTATTTAGATTGGGTGTCTGCACATATACAAGTAGCCTACCACAATTACCTGTATAGAAGGTGAGTAGATGGATGCACAAATAGCCTACCATAATTACCAGTATAGGTGAGTAGTTAGATTAGATGGATGCACATATACCAGTAGCCTACCACAATTACCTGTATAGAAGGTGAGTAGATGGATGCACAAATAGCCTACCACAATTACCTGTATAGAAGGTGAGTAGTTAGATTGATGCACATATAGCCTACCACAACTAACTGGAAAGGTGAGTATTTAGATGGTTGTACAATCACATACATAGAATGTATTTAGATTGATACACACATAAAACCACAAAATAAACCGCTAGTGATCTCCCATAAAAGCATAGCTACAACCACTTGTAAAGTATTTAGATGGATGCACATAACTATACAAGTAGCCTATTTCAATCACCAGCGCATAAGGTAAGTATTTATATGGTTGCATATTCACTAGTGCCAACATCACTTAATCAGAAAGTAAGTATTTAGATGGATGCACATAAACAAGTATCACAATCGCCTGCACAAAAGGTAAATACCAACATCACATTGGCAGAATTTTTTTTTTAAATCTACCTGTATTTCTTCCATTGTTTTTCAATTTAAAAAATCTACCTTTATTTCTTCTTTTGTGTTTCAATAAAAAAATCTACCTTTATTTCTTTTCTTCTTTTTCAAGTAAAAAGCTAAAATCTACCTATATTTCTTCCCATCTGTGTTTCAACAAAAATAATCTACCTGTATTTCTTCCATTGTGTTTCAATAAGAAAAAATCTACCTGTATTTCTTTTCTTCTGTTTCAAGTAAAAAACTAAAATCTATCTATATTTCTTCCCAACTGTTTCAATAAAAAAAAACTACATGTATTTCTTTTCTTCTGTTTCAAGTAAAAAAACTAAAATATATCTATATTTCTTCCCAACTGTTTCAATAAAATAAAACGACTTGTATTTCTTCCATTGTGTTTGAATAAAAAAATCTACCTGCATTTCTTCCATTGTGTTACAATAAACAAAAATCTACCTGTATTTCTTCCATTGTGTTTAAATTTTAAAAATCTACCTGTATTTCTTCTATTGTATTTCCATAAAAAATAATCTACCTGTATTTCTTCACTTCTGTATCTCACAAACGTTTGCCCCAGATCGGATGACGTAGTTTTCTCTGTCATTTCAAAGGGAGGGTCAACACAGATCCCCACCCCCTGGGCGGCTTGCTGGAACTCATTGGACAGGGACTGGCCGTAGATGTTTTTGATGACGATCACGCCGACCCTAGTCACCTGGAGAGATGTGATCAAGCGCACTTAACTAACAACTTGATTAACAACTTAATTAAGACCTTGAGTAGCACGTGATGGCAGCAGTGCAGACAAAAGCGTTTTGTTAAATATCAAAGTAATCAGTCTGTATAATCACTGTCAACATGTCGAGTCTGAACAAGTGTATTAGTATGATGCATCAAAGTTCCATAGATTTATAATGAAGTTCCAGTTTCAGACCTAAAGGTCAATAGGGTCAGATGAAGTAGAGTTCATTTTTTTTTCATCTTGGCATATGAAAAGATGCCTATGCTAACGTGAGTTAGGTACACATCAGAGCTGAGTGAACTAAAGGACGCCCTCGGAATCTTTTCTTCTTCTGCTTTCTTAATTTTTAGTGTTGGAAGATATTCCCGGAATAGATCCCCACCAACACAATTAAGTATACGTGTCAACTTGTTATGCGCCATAGAGGCCATTGACTCCGATTTTAGCCTGCTTTTCTTTTTGGATTTGCTCACATAGCCTTTGTCTACCCAAGAACAAACTATAAAGAAGCAGTTGTTTGATTTTGGAGTTGTCTCTCCTAGAAGAATTGATGTTCCAAGCTGTCGAGCCTCATCTGCCAGAGGGTTCGAACTCGAGACTTTTCGGTTGAGCTACAATGAGCTTTACCAACTTGACCACGCCGACCCCTTCCTCAGAATCATACACGTCCCGAGAACCGAACAAGAGATTAACACTTCTATTTATTATTATGAAGCCTAAATTATAACCTGTGGTTTCACTTTCGTGAGACAACCATTAATTGGCTGTACAGGAACTCTGTTATAGATCTTCTGTAAATCCCAATTTCTAGTAATTTGTACTCAATACTTTGCCAATAAATGTTTTAAATAAAATTATAAACGCCTAGTAATGCGATGTTTATGTACATTTTCAGTGACAAAATAATAACATTGCACATTGTTTTAAAAATATTTGATGGGCCTTTTCTAGGCTGTTCTCGGTTGGGTCCTCCTATATATCAAAACCGTGAAATGGTGTAAAATAAGGACTCACCTTTAAAGCCTGTAGAATGCTGACCAAAGCATTTGCCTGTACAGTGTCGCTGCTCACAGTCCGTGAGAAATAAGGGTAGTTGATGGGGCTGGTAAGATCGGGGTTGGAGGCACTAAATGACATAGAAATAGCCTTATTTGTCAGTAGTATATATATATATATATATATATATATATATATATATATATATATATATATATATATATATATATATATATACGTATATATATATATATATATACGTATATATATATATATATATATATATATATATATATATATATATATATATATATATATATATATATATATATATATATATATATATATATATATATATATATATATATATATGTATGTATATATATATATATATATATATATATATATATACGTATATATATATATATATATACGTAGGTAGCGAGTTAATTTTGACCATTCACTAGATTACCTACCTGTAGGATACCATGGGTATTCCGAGACTGTTCAGCAGGCTCAGCGTTGCCATGGTAACGGCGCTAGACTGGGAGCCCACCACCGCCCGGATGCTGGAGGCGTTCAACACGGCGCCCGTTACCCTGTCCTCGATCCGCATGTCACCGCTGAATATCTGTCACAAGCATTTGTCACTTTAGGTCATACATTTGTCAAAGAATAATACAGCTATGGGGTAGCAGCTAATTAGGTTCATCAGCTAAACAAAGACTATATAAACTGAAAGGTAGATATTTTTTCGTATATTAGTTAAATATATAATAATAGAATTTGTTGATTATGATTAGAGTCAGGGATTTATTTTAAAGAAATATATAGTGTTCTATTTATACATGTGTATGTATGTATGGATTCATATCCTATTGGTCCATCCATTATCTGATGAGGCTAAATGGAGCCATATTTCCTATATGTATAAAAAAGTGAAACTATGTAGATAATTTAACCTTCACTTTTTAGATGGGAAGGTCAGTAGAGATAAAACAAAATAATATTCAGGTATTTGAATTAGTTTTAGAATTTTTCTGACTCCATCTAGCTTTGATGGGTACCTAACTCTCGTACGGAGAGTAAAGGATGATGGGCATAGTGCTGACCATATTTCCCTTCATGTACCAAGGTAACAGAAACAGATGAATTCTAGTTCACTTGCCAATTGGACCGTCAGGTCCGAAAAGGGAACTTTTTGCATTGTAAGGTGTTATATGGCCAGCGCTATCAGCTTTACATTCTGGGACTAAAATCAAATGACCGTCTCACCTTTGCATACTCAGACTTTCTACTGCTTTAAGTACGACTTAGTTATTAGCATACTTAACAACTTAGTTATTAAAAGACTTTCAGGTTAACTACATGCCGCTTCAGTAATTAAAATAAGCTCTAAATTAAGCCAACAGCAACAGATAATCCCACCTTCATCAGCATACGTAGGGACTTAGTTATACATGAATGTTAAGCTAACTACAGCCCGCTTCAGTAATGGACTAAGCCCGTCCTAAATTAAGCCTACATCAACAGATAATCCCACCTTCATCAGCATACGCAACGCTCTCAGAGGATTGTAGCAGTCATCTATGACCAGGTAACCAAAGTTTAGACCTGTTTCCATCTTCAGACGTGTCACTGCGGTGATGAACGACTTCTGGGCGATAAAAGACGCACTCTTGCCCCTAGATATTGAATCATATGGAAATGTGCATAGTTTCTATAAAATGTTTCTTCTCACATGTTAACAATAAATGATAAAAGCAATATTTCAATCAAGTATAAATGTTACCCTTTTGGACCTGACGGTCTGTATCGCAGATAAAGATATTTTTTTTTTAATGAAGTGATAATGTGATCAGCACTATAAAAGCAGCCATTACTTAAGCAAAATTGAGCCAGGCACCCAGTAAAGTAGGATAGACTCAGGGCTGTTTTATAGACTCGTCTAAGATCCAAAATCGCGACTTTCAGGCTTGTAATCGAGCGCTCTATCGACCGGTCATCACGTCCCATAATAATTATAGTGTTTCTATGAAGCATAACATTGGTGATGTGTTGTTCTTATGAATGTCATTCACCGTGGACTAAGCCATCATATTATTACAAACAGAAATTCTATTATAGCCCACTCGAGACACTTCGAAGGTTCTAAGACTGTAGTTGTGTTTGCCTCCAATACAGGACTAGATGGAACTAGACTGACCACAAAATGTAGATCACAGGAGATAGGTCATAAAGATTATATTAGTAGCATAGATTATAAGACCTGTAATGTTTATCACAAGGCCAAGCAGAGAGGATAGGTCATAAAGATTATATTAGTAGCATAGATTATAAGACCTGTAATGTTTATCACAAGGCCAAGCAGAGAGGATAGGTCATAAAGATTATATTAGTAGCATAGATTATAAGACCTGTAATGTTTATCACAAGGCCAAGCAGAGAGATCTTGTATAAGGAGTTTTCTTTTATTGTAGACACTGTTAAGTATTTTTTTGTCGAGATGAAATTTTTAAAACAGGAAAAAAGACCGAAAGTATTATATGCATTATAAACCAGTCTTCTTCTTCGTTAAATTGGATTATTGAAGGGAATTTACGTGTCATCATGTTAAGCACGTAAGGCCAATTGACTCCAATTCGGACATTATTTCTTTCCTGATTTGCTGACATAGCCTTTATTTATTCTTTAAAATCCGCATAGAGTTTTTTCTACCAGTTTTGTTGCTGTCCCAAGCAAACGAGCCTTATCTATCTGTATGTCCGAACTCAGAACTTTTGGAGTTACCAACCATGAGCTCTACCGCCCGACCACACCGCCCCAACCTGGTTGATCGACCAGTACCTATCACCTCACCTGTAGACGTCACAGCCGAAGTCGTCTTTGTCTGACCGCCAGTGTAGGGAGTACAGTCCCAGAATGACGTAGGTACCGTTAGAGAAGATGTAATCTCGGTCGTAGAGGTCAAAACACTCCTGGCACTTGCTGCTGCAGCGGGAAGGGTTGAGGATGGTGCTGTAGGTGCTGGTGATGCTGATCTTGTTGTCCTTGAACTCACCAATCTGACGACAACAACAACAAAAAAAATAACATTAAATATTTTCTAATTATATAAGTTTAACTTAAAGTACTAACCATAGTAGTTGTGTTTAAAAGTTATAACTTTTTATTGAAAAAGCTAAATCTGTAATGCCTATCATTATCCTAATGTCGTCTTTGTAAACTGTTTGGTGTGTAGTAAAGTTATCATCGTTAACACGTCCTATGTATGTCCTATAGTTACCTTTATAATACTGTACTATCTGTGTCCTGCCTATATTTTTAAAAATATTTCCTATTTTTGTCTTACCATTACATTTATAAACCTGTCCCTACTGTGTCCTACCTTTACCTATATAAATGTTACCTATTTATGTCCTACCATTACATTTATAAACCTGCCCTAACTGTGTCCTACCTTTATCTTTATAAATATTGCCTATTTATGTCCTACCGTTACATATAAAAATAAATACTATCTGTGTCCTACTGCTGTTTATAAACAAGTCCTATCCGTGTCCTACTGATATGTGTATAATCAAGTCCTATCTGTGTCCTACCGTTAGCTATGTGACGTGAGTGTCTAAAATAATGTGTACGCACTAAGAATAGAGAATGTGTGAGAGTGGCCTCCCCTTGAAAGTGGTGTGCAAGGCAGAGCAAGTGTGTAACGCTAGGGAAAAAAAGGAATGTTGTGTGGTGTCAACACAGTGTCAGTTCTTGTCGTTTCGCATCATTTTTCTTATTTCTTGTCATTTCTTGTCTTGTCATTGTTATTTCTTGTCATTTCTCGTCGTTTTTTTTGTGTCATTTTTGTCATTTTTTGTCATTTCTTGTCATTTTTTAAAATCTACTCATTTATTGTCAATTCGTGTAATTTCTTGTGGCAAAAATTGCATGTGAATGGAATATATACAAAATACATACAAAGCCAAGTCTAACACCTATATAAAACTCCTATATGTGTCCTACTGCTATGTTAACAAACAAGTCCTATCTGTGTCCTTCACCTTTATATAGATGCCCTACATGTGTCCTACCATTACCTTTGTGAACATGCTGCCAATGTTGGCCCTGATGGAAAACTGCGGCTGGTTAAAGACCTCGAAGTCCCCACCAGCCTTGACTAAGGCCCTTGTGATCAGTTCTGCTGGAATATAGTTGGCATCAATATTGGTGTAGTTCATCTCTCGCAGACCGCCTGTCCGGAGTATTATAGAGTTCAAGGACTCCTTCATAGCCAGGCATATACCTGCGGGACAACACCAAAAAAAAAATTCAAAAACGTTTTAATAACAAGCTTTTATGTAATGATGCACTAAAAAGTAGAAAATAAATTATAGACTACTATTAAAATAACTATAAAGAAAAGCGTGGGTCACTTTAGTATCTATTGGATACCTTTACTAATGTTAAGAAGACACCCACACTTTTCTTTATAGTTATTTAAATAGTAGTCTATAATATATTTTCTACTTTTTAGTGCATTATTGCATAAAAGCTTGTTATTAAAACGTTTTTGAATTTTTTTTCAGTACTTTACATGTTTTATTTACAATAGAGCTACATGACTAAAAACCATTGCGCGCCTACTGAACGTGATGGCGCAGCCATTGAACGTGATTGCGCAGCTATTGAACGTGATGACGCGTGTGGTCTGGTTGGATAAACATGCCTACTAATTCGGTCCAAATTTTAATTAATTCATAAAAAAATAATTAGGCATCCAATTAAGTCAAATTTAATTTCATATTGCATTGTCTTCATGTCTTGACCCACGTGCCAACTGTAAATCGTATCGGTCAAGTAGAAGTGTCCGAATTTTCACTCCGGCGTTTCGATCTAGACTGACGACAGACAGACTGTCGAGGAAGTGAGTTAAATAAAAGCTTGTAATAAAAATGAGAGTGTCAGTGCTCATGGACAGTGTGATGCTTTTAAAAATGTTGAGATGAAGATATTTTTTAAAACTATAGCGAGACGTAAAATTTAACTTCTAAAAAAAATTTCATACCAGATGAGAAACATTCAATAATTTTTTGTTTACAATTTCGAATTGAAATATCCAAATTTTCTTTAAATAATCAAACTAAATTATAAGCATATGAAAGTTTGAATTATGAAGGGCAATAACAAGCGTTATAGTTCTGTATAATTTGTCTTCGGTTATGTCCCTTACTAATTTTTCATAAACATATGTCCCTAAAGTAACTACTTATAAATTAACAAAATATAATAACAGCTGTAACACATTAAAATAATCAACCTAATAGTTATGTGAAACAAAACAAACCCAAACTTAATATACGAAACAAATTTATTTTTATTCAATTTTAAAGTATAATATCCTACGTTTAGTTGCAACTAGTTTTACACAAAGTCAAAAAAAGTGTTCTGATTTAAAGCAATAACATTTTTTTTTTGAAGAATCGAGACAAAATTAAAGAAAATGAAAAGAAGAAAAAAAAATAAGGAAAAAATGCACACTAAAATTAACAAGAGAGCAAGGAAGAGAAAGATTAACGGAAAAAGAGAGAAACAGTAAGAGTAAAAAAAAGTGTTAGAAAAAAGATTAGGTAGGGGGGATTGGAAACAAGGGAAGAGAGAAAAAGAAATAATGAGAAACATAGAGAGAAAGAGAATCAGAGAAACGAAAAGAGAAACAGACTGGGAGGTATTAAGATGGAGAGAATTAGAAAGAAAAACGGAACGAGAAACAGAGAGGTGGTGAAAAGTAATGTGAAAGAGGGCGGAGATTGAGAGACTCAGAAAGTGATTCGCAGAGGGGAGAGAGATAGAGAGAGTGTATCTTACCTGGGGCACCGAAGCATGTCTCTTTGTGTATGGCCTTGAACGTGTTGGCCAAGAGGTAGACAGAGTCCAACGTGGCTGTCAAGTAGGGACTGAGGGAGGTGTCAAAGACACAGCCGCTCAGGGACTCCTTGCTGAAGTTGTAGTTACCACAACTGAAGGAAAAAAAAACTGAAGTTGTACATGGTTCCATGAAAAATGATCTCAGGACAAATTTTCTGAGACAAAATATGCAAAAACTAGATCACGGATAAATGCTTTCATGACAAAGATATCTGACAAAATATCCCAAGTAAAGTATCTCATGGATAAATTAACTTAAAGACAAATGTCAGTTATATAAGAATTTCTCTCTCTCTCTCTCTCTCTCTCTGTATATATATATATATATATATATATATATATATATATATATATATATATATATATATATATATATATATATATGCAGACCCCATTTCAGATTAGACAAATAAATTAGGTGGTAATGTGAATGTCTTTATTATTAAGTATCGATGACGTCATTATTATTATGTATTGTTTTCGGCATTTGATTTTAATTCTATGTTTACTCTGAAGCAATGATGTCACTTCAATGTGTTTATTTTACCGGTTTCAGAACTGTGCATATTTTGTTTTGTTTTGAAAACTTCGTATATCTTAAATGTGACGTCACTGTCGTTCACATAGGAACTTTTAAATGTCTTTGTGTTTTCTCTAAAGCGCTTGGGGAAAAACAGACAGAAAGAAAGACATAATAGCGAAACTATTATAGTGCTTTAAAAACATTTAAGTATTTAAAATTTATTTACAAAAAAACACGTTTATATCCCGATTACACTGGAGTTGCCATCCACCGTGGTGTTATATATATAAAAAATATTCGAGAAAGTTTAGGTGAGCTCACTCCCGCTTTATTTTTATAATATTTGCCTTGTGTATGAGCTTTCGGATAATTCCATCCTTTATGTAAAAGCAGTCTACCTTGAGAAAGAAAAAAAAATCTCTTACTTTAGAGAGTTCTGCATTAAATACTGCACCATAGAGCGCCACGGCCCCGCCATCCAATCAGGTGGGTCTTCCAACAACTTCCGGAAATACGTCTGGTATGACGTCAGCACAACTTCCTGCGGTCCGATGAGCAGGATTTTCGTTTGGTACTCGTCCAGGTATCTTATGAGTTCCGGCGTCCCGTCCACGCCGTCGGTTCCGATCCAATAGACTTTTTTCAATGCGTTGAAGACGTTACCCCAATAACTGCGTCGTAGCTTTATGTAGTCCAGCAATGATAAAAGTAAATTGTTTCTCCCAAAGTAAACCACGCCTAAAACAAGCACAAGGATGAATCACATCTTGCAACTATGGGTACAATATAAATGGGTAAATCAATAATCACGTTTTACGATCTTAGAATAAAAAAAAACAGTAATGTAAGTCATATATTGCAATATTGTAAAATGCACAAGTTATAAAACAAAAATAAATATATAATTTAAATGGTATTATTTATGTCTTTTTCTCTCATGCGGTCATTACTGGCTCAAGCTTCTGCCCATTTCCCAGACTGACTAGAATAGGGTTAATTATTGAGTATTTCTCTCACCCATTTTACCGTGAGTTACCACATTTCTCTCACCCATTTTACCGTGAGTTACCACATTTCTCTCACCCATGTTACCAGCTAGACCCGTGAGTTACCACATTTCTCTCACCCATGTTACCAGCTAGACCCGTGGGTTACCACATTTCTCTCACCCATGTTACCAGCTAGACCCGTGGGTTACCACATTTCTCTCACCCATGTTACCAGTCACTAGACCCGTGGGTTACCACATTTCTCTCACCCATGTTACCAATAAGACGCGTGGGTTACCACATTTGTCTCAACCATGTTACCAGTCACTAGACCCGTGGGTTACCACATTTCTCTCACCCATGTTACCAGCTAGACCCGTGGGTTACCACATTTCTCTCACCCATGTTACCAGCTAGACCCGTGGGTTACCACAGTTCTCTCACCCATGTTACCAGCTAGACGTGGGTTACCACATTTCTCTCACCCATGTTACCAGCTAGACCCGTGGGTTACCACATTTCTCTCACCCATGTTACCAGCTAGACCCGTGGGTTACCACATTTCTCTCACCCATGTTACCAGTCACTAGACCCGTGGGTTACCACATTTCTCTCACCCATGTTACCAATAAGACGCGTGGGTTACCACATTTGTCTCAACCATGTTACCAGTCACTAGACCCGTGGGTTACCACATTTCTCTCACCCATGTTACCAGCTAGACCCGTGGGTTACCACATTTCTCTCACCCATGTTACCAGCTAGACCCGTGGGTTACCACAGTTCTCTCACCCATGTTACCAGCTAGACGTGGGTTACCACATTTCTCTCACCCATGTTACCAGCTAGACCCGTGGGTTACCACATTTCTCTCACCCATGTTACCAGTCACTAGACCCGTGGGTTACCACATTTCTCTCACCCATGTTACCAGTCACTAGACCCGTGGGTTACCACATTTCTCTCACCCATGTTAGACCCGTGGGTTACCACATTTCTCTCACCCATGTTACCAGTCACTAGACCCGTGGGTTACCACATTTCTCTCACCCATGTTACCAATAAGACGCGTGGGTTACCACATTTGTCTCACCCATGTTACCAGTCACTAGACCCGTGGGTTACCACATTTCTCTCACCCATGTTACCAGCTAGACCCGTGGGTTACCACATTTCTCTCACCCATGTTACCAGCTAGACCCGTGGGTTACCACAGTTCTCTCACCCATGTTACCAGCTAGACGTGGGTTACCACATTTCTCTCACCCATGTTACCAACTACCCGTGGGTTACCACATTTCTCTCACCCATGTTACCAGCTAGACCCGTGGGTTACCACATTTCTCTCACCCATGTTACCAGTCACTAGACCCGTGGGTTACCACATTTCTCTCACCCATGTTACCAATAAGACGCGTGGGTTACCACATTTGTCTCAACCATGTTACCAGTCACTAGACCCGTGGGTTACCACATTTCTCTCACCCATGTTACCAGCTAGACCCGTGGGTTACCACATTTCTCTCACCCATGTTACCAGCTAGACCCGTGGGTTACCACAGTTCTCTCACCCATGTTACCAGCTAGACGTGGGTTACCACATTTCTCTCACCCATGTTACCAGCTAGACCCGTGGGTTACCACAGTTCTCTCACCCATGTTACCAGTCACTAGACCCGTGGGTTACCACATTTCTCTCACCCATGTTACCAGTCACTAGACCCGTGGGTTACCACATTTCTCTCACCCATGTTAGACCCGTGGGTTACCACATTTCTCTCACCCATGTTAGACCCGTGGGTTACCACATTTCTCTCACCCATGTTACCAGTCACTAGACCCGTGGGTTACCACATTTCTCTCACCCATGTTACCAATAAGACGCGTGGGTTACCACATTTGTCTCACCCATGTTACCAGTCACTAGACCCGTGGGTTACCACATTTCTCTCACCCATGTTACCAGCTAGACCCGTGGGTTACCACATTTCTCTCACCCATGTTACCAGCTAGACCCGTGGGTTACCACAGTTCTCTCACCCATGTTACCAGCTAGACGTGGGTTACCACATTTCTCTCACCCATGTTACCAACTACCCGTGGGTTACCACATTTATCTCACCCATGTTACCAGCTAGACCCGTGGGTTACCACATTTCTCTCACCCATATTACCGTGGGTTACCACATTTCTATCACCCATGTTACCGTGGGTTACCACATTTCTATCACCCATGTTACCGTGGGTTACCACAGTTCTCTCACCCATGTTACCAGCTAGACGTGGGTTACCACATTTCTCTCACCCATGTTACCAACTACCCGTGGGTTACCACATTTCTCTCACCCATGTTACCAGCTAGACCCGTGGGTTACCACATTTCTCTCACCCATATTACCGTGGGTTACCACATTTCTCTCACCCATGTTACCAGCTAGACCCGTGGGTCTCCACATTTCTCTCACCCATGTTACCAGCTAGACCCGTGGGTTACCACATTTCTCTCACCCATATTACCGTGGGTTACCACATTTCTATCACCCATGTTACCGTGGGTTACCACATTTCTATCACCCATGTTACCGTGGGTTACCACATTTCTATCACCCATGTTACCGTGGGTTACCACATTTCTATCACCCATGTTACCAGACTAAAGACATGTGGGTATCTGCCTGGATTTTGCTCTCCCCCCCCCGTGTATCGCACTACCATGTTTCCACACGAGGGTCAGATTGTTCGTGAAACGACCAACGTCCTCGAGCTCAAGTTCTACCGCTGGACCACTTCGCCCACAAGTTACAACACAAAATCCGTTCCAAACCACAAAATGTAACAAGAAGCGTCACACGAAAAGTCACACGAAATGTAACGCGGAATCTGACATGAAATGTGGCATATAATGTGACAGGATACGTGACACCAAACGTGACACCAAACGTGACCTGAGATGTGACATGAAATGTGACAAAAAATTCGAAATGGCATACGATACGAAACGTGACACGAAATATGACGTAAAATCTGACACAACATGTGACACAAAAATGTGACACAATTTTCGACACGAAAGTAGACACAGATAATCTGTCACACACCAGTAGTAATCACTTACCAATGACATCATTTCCTTTCGTGAAAACATTAATCAGAGTGTTCCGGACAAAATTCTCCATCTCCGTCTTACTATCAGGTTCAAAAGACACGACCGTAGACACACACAACTGCTCCTCCTGCGCTAGCCTCTGAACCTCAGCCATACCCTGTACCCCGTAGTTGTCTGTAGAGTGGATACCTAAAACGTAGCTCCACTTGAAGGTCTTGGCAAGCTCGATGATGACCTGCAAATTTATAACAGTAAGTTAATTATCACTCATTAATCAACAAGAATTGTAAAATTAATTACGAGTTTATATTTTAAAGCTTGAAGTACAAAAAGGAGGGCACTAATTATTCCAAAACATTTTGAGTACCTTGGCTTGTTAAGATAGGTCTCAGCTAGGGTTTTTTAAGACAGATTCATTACCTAAGCTACGCTTGATTCAAAGACAGATTCATCTCTTTACATTAGTTTAATTAGGCCTAAATCATTAGTTTACCTACGCTTGCTTAAGTCAGATTAATTAGATTATATTTTATTTAATTAAGAAAGATTCGTTAGGTTACTTTGGCTTGCTTAAAGCAGATTGATTAACCTGCCTTAGTTAAATGAAGACAGATTCATTATGTTACCTTTATTTAATGCACATACAATCATTATCTTACTTTTGTTTAAGTACATACAATCATTAGCTTTTCTTTGTAGATATAAAGACAATCATTATCTTAGCTTTGTTTAAGTACATACAATCATTATCTTACTTTAGTAGATATTAAAACAATCATTATCTTACCTTTGTTTAAGTACATACAATCATTAGCTTACCTTTGTAGATATCAAGACAATCATTATCTTACTTTTGTTTAAGTACATACAATCATTAGCTTACCTTTGTAGATATCAAGACAATCATTATCTTACCTTTGTAGATATTTAGACAATCATTATCTTACCTTTGTAGATATCAAGACAATCATTATCTTACCTTTGTAGATATCAAGACAATCATTATCTTACCTTTGTAGATATCAAGACAATCATTATCTTACCTTGGCTTGCTTGAGGTCTGAAGGCACCGTCCTGACAAAGTTCTTGTAGACACTTTTGTTGGACAGCTCCCCCAGTGTGGCTGAGATGCCCACTACAGGTGTGTCGGTGTAGTTGAGCACCTGAGACACCACCGTCGTCGTTTGGCTGATGGTTGTGCCGATTATACCTGTGGTAGATGTCGGGTGAGGTGGGTGAGGTATTTCAAATAGGAACAAAGTTTAGATAATGACAGGTAAATGAGATAATATGAAAGGAAAGATAGGTTAGATAACATATATGAATACGAAACAACCTATATGTTAGACAACATCTACTAAAGTGAATATCATCATTTTTCCCCTTCATGCCCAAGGCTCACGGGGTAGATGAAGTAGAGTTCATCTGTTTCAATGACCTCGGCTTATGAGAGTGTGGTCAGCACAATGCCCAGCCGCCTTTACTTTCTCTAACTTGAGTTAGGTACCCGTCATAGCTGGGTTGGACTCAGGAACATCCTGCAGTCACGAATCCGAACCGAGACCCGCACTCGAGATCTTCGAGCTAGACAAACTAACTTTCGACCACACAGCCCCCTGAAGTGAATTACACCTGTCAAAATGAAGAGACACATGAATTCTATAACAATTATGAAGAAGTGGGACAGGTGTGTTAGCCACTGTTTGCGAATCTGAAGGAAGACGTGAGCTAGTAAACAGATGTGAACATAAAGAGAAATAAGAGGCAGATGCATTCGTGCAAAAAGAATAAGACAGATAGGTAACAGCCAACCGCTACTTGAACCAAACGGTTGCCTGCAATAATAGGTTTGTTTAGTTACCTGCAATGATTGGTTTGTTTAGTTACCTGCAATAATAGGTTTGTTTAGTTACCTGCAATAATATGTTTGTTTAGTTACCTGCAAAGACAGGTTTGTTTTGTTACCTGCAATGATATGTTTTAGTTACCTGCAATAATATGTTTGTTTAGTTACCTGCAAAGACAGGTTTGTTTTGTTACCTGCAATGATATGTTTTAGTTACCTGCAATAATACGTTTGTTTTGTTACCTTAATTTTAGGTTTGTTTAGTTACCTGCAATGATATGTTTTAGTTACCTGCAATGGTAGGTTTGTTTAGTTACCTGCAATAATAGGTTTGTTTTGTTACCTTAATTTTAGGTTTGTTTAGTTACCTGCAATGATATGTTTTAGTTACCTGCAATGGTAGGTTTGTTTAGTTACCTGCAATGATAGTTTTTTTTAGTTACCTGCAATGATATGTTTTAGTTACCTGCAATGATAGGTTTGTTTAATGTAAAGTTCCCGTATGAGCACCCTTCAACACCCTTAATGTAACTTGACAACATCCCGGCATGCTCTGCTGCCAGGGTAGGGTTCTTGCAGTCATCATAGATATCAATACCTGTGTTATATAGGATACATTTGTTACATTTTACACGTAGATATCAATACCTGTTATACAGGATATATTTGTTACATTTTACACGTAGATATCAATACATGTGTTATACAAGATAATTTGTTACCTTATACACATAGATATCAATGTATGTGTTATAAATGACATTGTGTTTCATTATATACATATATATCAATACATGTGCTATACATGATATATTTGTTACATTATACATGTAGATATCAATGCCTATGTTATACAGGATATCCTGTTACATTATAAGTGTACATTCTAATACATGTATAATACAGGATAAGCTGTTACAATAACACTTTCATACGTACATATTAGGTTTTTTAACATTTTTATAAGAACTTATTTATTAGATTTATGTGATTTATAACAGTTCTTTCGATACTGTTTCAGATTTCATAATTGGGAGTGACGAAGGCAATGGGGTGTTAGGGCGTTAAAACACCCACCCCCTTGGGCTCACGCAATAAGAGCTGATATTGATTAAGTCTACAGTAACTTTGGGAGTTGATTTAAAATCTTGCTTCAACTAGATATGTAGTAAAGTACTGTTTCGAACATTTCGGTCCATGGAGCAGGTGAGGTAGAGTTCACCTGTTTTAGTGCCCTCGACTTACGTGGGGATAGAGTGGTCAGCACTATGCCCAGCCGCCTTTACATTCACTAAAGTGAGTCAGGTGCTAATCAGAGCTTGGTGGACTGATGAACGTCGAACCAGATTCCAGTAAAAAAAAAGTCCCTTTTCGAACATGACAGTCCATGTTGCAAGTGAAGTAAAGTTCACCTGTTTCTGTGACCTCGGCATATGGAGAGATAGTGTGGTCAGCACTATGCCCAACACTACAATGTAGTCGTTCTAAAAATATATTTTTCTGAGTAAAGCAGCTCTTACCGATACTGACACCAGGTATAAAACTTGAGACATTCTTGCTTGGGTCACCTCGCAATAGTGACTCCGCCCATTTCAGGGCTATCATTTGCTGGTGATGACAATAAAAAAGAAACAAAATGTATATATATATGCAGTTATATAAAATATATAATATAATATATTATATATATATACATATATATATATATATATATATATATATATATATATATATATATATATATATATATATATATATATATATAGGGAGATGGTGCGTGGCTGCTAGTTCGAAGGGCTCGAGTTCGGTTCTCAATTCGGAAATGTGACTGTAAGACGTCCGTGAGTCAACCCACCTCTGATGGGTGCCTGACACACATTAAGGAAAGTAAAGAAATAGATCAAATCTACTCCATCTGCCCAATGGTTCCCAAGGTCTGATGAGGAATCTTTACTTTTACATAGAATCAATTACGAAGCTTGCCTTTCATTACGTACATTCACCAAAGACTAGATAACCAGTACGCCTATGTATTACAACAATGATGGCCTACTAGGTGAATGAGTTGGTACTTTCCTTTAATTAACAATTTTAAAAAAATGAAATGGTCTCCCATACCTGTATGGCGGTGCTGTCATATTTCCTGTCGCATTTCTCCCCTTGGAACCCAAGTATGGCGGCTATCTTGATGAGCGCGTCATCACTTTGTGTGGTGTACGTGTACGCACTACATGTCTGTCCTCCCACGGGCGTCCCCTGGGTGAACAGATATCCCAGCAAAAAGACCCTGGCTAGATCTGAAGTAGACATCATCGGAGGAAGACTAGAGTGAGGGCATGCAAGTTCATCGTGAGTCGTCGACAGGTGTGTGACGTCAATGCACAATCGTTACACATCGTGGGTTTATTGCCTGGACGTAATAAAAAAAAAATATTTTGAGTCAAATGCTTTAATTTATACAAGTAAATAACTGTATTAAATGTTAATACAATAAATTCAACAATTGAACTTAACCACAATAGACTTAAAAAGCTTGTTCGAAATGGGTTCCGAATTTGTGTTGCCAGAAAGCATATTTTTTAACCAAAATTGAATATTTTATAACATTTGTGTATTAAGTATAAAACTACTTTCGGTTTCATTAAGGCTAGAAACAGGCAAAGAAATAATTATTAGTAATAGAATAGTAATTTAGAAAACACTTCTATTTTCAATTTGGATTATAAATTCAAGGTGTTGTGTTGATTGTGGATGTTATATTATTTAATATAAATACAATACTAAGCTATACACCATAGATCACTATTGTGTATTTTTATCATGGAGAACTATTGTTCTGACTTTATTGTTTTACTCTCCCTGGCCACTCCGCTTGACTTCAAGAATGGGTTGAGGGCAGTTTTTGAAACTATTTGAATTGTTAAAATAATTCTAAACGGCTTTTCAACGGCTTATATTCGTTACAAAAATATAAAAATGAGTGTAATCGATGTTCCCAAACAGGTTTAATTTTCTTTTCACAACGTAACAATAATTGTATCGCTTGCCACATTTTTAAAACGATTTTTTTCAAAAATGTAGTATGGTTACATAGACTTTTCATGCCTATATTAAAGTTTAATTCTTTTAAAAAAAAACTGACGAAAGAATTCTAAAAACAGTAATTTTAAAGTTTAGCTCTTGGAATATTCCTCAATATTTTCACACAACCACATTTTAAAATGTAGATGTTGAAATAATAATTAACTTTACTTCTTATTCACATTATTAAAACTCACCTCTTTGAAATGTAATACAACTATTTTATAAAACCAGACTTTCAAAGTATTTTTTCTAAAATGCAGGAATGCTTCCCTCTAAGAAATAACTGACACAAGCGGGAACATACGTGAAGTAATATCATAAGGACTTAATGTCTTTGTAATATAAATAATAAAACTTGAAGATTTTATAACCTTATGAAATCCCGTCATTTCGCTATGAAAAGGCGGCCATATTAAAACAAATATTTAAAACGCCTTACACAATTCCTCAAGGCTTTTACTATTGACTTTAAATCGAAAGTTTGAAAAAAAAATAGTAATGAAAAGCACAACATTTTTTTCCGAAAAAACCCGTGACGTTATTTTTACACCAATGTACCTAAATGTCTGAATCTATAGAAACTGAATACCTGCTGGAGCACGGCTAAAAAAAAAAAAACAGGCGAACCGTCAAGGACGAAGTTTTGGAATTTCAGAGGCAAGCGTTGACGTAGAGATTCCAAAAAAAAAAATATCATCACCTGAATGCGTCTTTACAATTTTAATGTTCAACTGGTTTCTCTATTAGTTTGAATATCAAAGAATAACATTTCGGTGCATAGAGAAATGTAAATTGTTGGGGCACGCGGTGTTGTGTTTAGGATTGCTTGTTTTGCTAACGTGTTGCAATGTCACAAATGGACTATTTGACACCGCGTAACCCGTGTAAATCATGAGCAAATACGGACACCATTGTTCGATCGTGTTTTGGGGTTTATGGAAGCTATCTCGTTATTAAGTGGGGTGGGCGCGTGGAAGCCGTTTTGTTGTTACGTTTTGTGACATGAAAGCCATTTTGTTATTACATTGTTAAACATGGAGGCCATTTTGTTATTAAATTGGGGAATATGGAAATTATTTTTATTTTTACGTGGGGAAACATGAAAGTCGTTTTGTTATTAAATTGTTAAACATGAACGCCACTTTGTTATTGCGGTTGCGACATGAAAGCCATTTTGTTATTATGTGTTGCGACATGAAAGCCATTAATTATATTACATTTTTAAACATGGAAGCCACTTTGTTATGACGAGGGGCCAGGATATGGAAGCCACTTTGATACCCTGCCTGTAGGAAGGGCATGGAAGCCATTTTCTTATTACGAGGGGGTGGTAACACATGCAAACTATTAACTGAATACGTGGGAAAAACATGAAACCGTATGGTGATTGCGCGGTTGATGTTCTTCTTACAGGATGACCTTGTTATGGTAAGATGTGTTCAGTCATGCGTACTGAATATTACACGACGGCAACTTCGTCATGCTTGAAAGGTCTCTCTTTTCTATTTTAAATCTTGTATAGATATGAAGAGAGATAATGTTGTTAAATGATTTTTTTAAGCATGCATTGCCATGTTTATAAATAGTTTTAGAAACTGTTTTATGTGGGATTCATAGTTTTAGACCGACAAAACATTTTTTTAAATTGTATCAATGCTGTAATTGGTTAAAATATGTTTCATATTTCCTCTAAAACTGATTACTTTAAAAACTGATTAGCTACATCAGGGGTCTCCAAACTTTTCAGTCCGAGGGCCGCATTAACTATCAAATTTCAGTTCGGGGGCCAGTTTCTTCCAGACATGTCTTTGATTTTTCTGGGCAAAGTTCCTCAGCCATCAGCAACAAACGTTTTTTCCGTGGACAAAAAGATTTCCGCGGGCCGGATGAGAGGACATCGCGGGCCGCATCCGGCCCGCGGGCCGTAGTTTGGAGACCCCTGAGCTACATGATAACGTGTTCTATATGCTTGACTTCCAGTCTTTTCTTTTACCTGAATTAACTAATGCCTCGTCACAGAACAAAGGAACTATTCTAGCATGGGACTGCAATCCTGCTCGAGTTAAAGGGCGCAGCAGACTTTTTATGTCACGTTTAACTACAACTCAGCTAGTGACTGCAGACTTTTCAAATCACAGTTAACCAGAGCTTAGTTAGTGAGACGACCTTACAAGTCACATCAGAATAGAAAATAACCATCATTTTTTTTTAAATGTACTATCTGCAACTCTCTCATTCACCATCGTCTTTACTTACATCAAGTACTATCTTTATCTCCTACATTCTCTTTTTTTGTCACACATTTTTTTCTTTCTCCGTCTCTTAACATCTTTTTGTTGAGATCCATGTATTCTTTTATCTAATCTCTTTCTATTGCTCTCTTTCACTCTCTCTCTTCGCAATCCCAAATATACATACATCAATATGTCTTTTAGGTGGTCGGGCAAGTAGATCTCTTGGTTGCTATACTGACAATTCCTGAGTTCGAGCCCCCGAGCAGATGAGGCTTGATAGATAGGGGACAGCAAATCCAATTAGGAGAGAAAACTCCAAAATCAAACAACAGCTCCCTTGCAGTATGATTTTTGATATGGAAGCAAATTCAGAAAGAAAAGCAGGCTGAAGTTGGAGTCAACGGGTCTTATGGCGCTAAGATGTTGACAGGAAATAATTAATTGTGTTGGAGGAAATCGCGTCCTACATTACAATTAGTACGACGAACAAAGTCAGTAAATTCTGAATCCAACCTGAAAAAAATTTCAATTTCTAGGACAATATAAACCTTCAGCTTAAACCAAACACACACATTCGCATTGAATGGCGCACACAAATGAATGATAGAACACCATATTATCATATGAATCAACGGATTATTATAGGGAAATTATTTCGCCATACAAATAACAAGGGTATTGAAATTTAATAAATAGCCACATACAATTTCGCATCCTCTAGCAGTAACTTGTTTTAGTTGTCTTTTTTTTGCACTTCCTTCATGTTGTATTAAAGACAAAACAATAACCAAACCAATCGTTCTATTACATAACTCTGATGACGCAACCCCCCACCCCCTCCCCCCTTTTGAAAGAAATATGAATAATATATTTTATATAGAACATATATTTTCATCTATTTTAATCATCCTACCTCCCCCAACGGACATGTGTATTTCCCAATGTATCAAGTGTCAATCCCAAACCCTACCTCCCCCACTGGAGAAAAATGTCTTAAACATACACTGAAAGCGGAAGAATAATTTTATGAAAACAGTGAGTCGTAGAAGAAAAGACAGCGATAGACGTAGGTTGATGTTTTCGTGTATGGAACAAATACACTGCGTATGCTACTTCATTTTGGAGCTGCTGCTGTTCATTCCTGCCGTAAAAAAAAAGCAACATGCTCTTACTAATAGGATAATTGATCCCCTTTCATGCGTATTCCAGTCACAACAACTGGTGAAGTTAATACATCCGGCGCAAGACAACAACCACACTGCTTAACATTTTAAATATCTGCACGTGTTTATTGAACGTATATTTTTAGATTGTTTTAGCAACATTTTACGCAGTTTGGCTGGATAAAATGAGTTTTACATTTTTTTTCCTATATTTAATTTTTTAATTAAAAATTTCAATTACTTGTTAGTTAATTGGTTTCCTATTCCAGAAATGTTTCTTGAAGCGCAGTTAATTTTAATCCGGCTTTCCCGGGGAAACCTGACAGAGTTAAATAAAGATTTAAATTTGGGAGGGAAGTAAAAAAAAAAAACTTGGCTTAAAACCAAGAAACGTATTCTAGCGTGAAGACACTGGTCAAATGACACCAGTCTTCTATGTACACATGTGTGGGTGGGGGAAGGGGGGTAGGGTAGCTAGAAATTCTTCATCCCACCACCACAATCCCTGAAATTCGAGCTAATAAATATTTAACTTGCATGCCTTCTACGCAACCTATCTGTACTAGTTTGTGTGGCATCATTCTTTCCTTAATGAAGTATTTTCAACCATAACTAATTTAAGAGTAAATAAATGTTTCCAAGTAAAGGTATCTTGGTGTCACCATTTTGAATGGTGTCGTCCAGCAATGTCCGCACCCCTCGCCTGGATTGTGACGCCACTCCCCTTGTGAATGTTCATACATAATACCCCCACCCCCATCAGTATATTCATCTTCGCAGAAATCTGGACCTTCAACGAAAGTACCAAGACATTAAACCTGTTTAACCGGTTGAGCTCTGTAGCAAACAGACTCTCCAGATTTCCCCAGGAAATTATCAATGAAAAGTGAACCAAAGTTCATTTTGCAAAGAATAACATGTTTTTTTTT